TCTACCACCCTTTTCTTATAAGGAGAGGATGGGAAGAGGAAGTGGATTTGACGGTGGAGGAGATGCATAGGAATATCCTCTTTATGTGCGTCTCCTCCGTCGGATAAGGGTAGGCAACGCATCTGCAATTGCGGATGTCTAGGGGTAGCGGTCGCTTCGCCATTTTGGCAGATTAGGTGGCCGCTTGCTCGTTTGCCACCTTATGTTATAAAAAAAAAGATTTATTTTCAGTTCACAAACATATTTTGATGTGGCTCGTTTCAGTTGAATCTTACTATTTATTTTAAATGTCTGGATGGATGTTACTAAAACAGCATAATTCTCTATTAAATTTGTGCATAGACATAGTCTGGAAGAACACATAGACTATTTCGTTTTTTTTTAATTCTTCGCGGCCACAGAAAAATACTTTGAGTTCAAGTTTTCATTGTTGATTATTCAATTAAAGGTGGACATTGTTATTACAAAAGTACAAGATAATGACTAGATTTAACACCATAGAGTACGTTTAGACCATAGATAATAGATTTTACTGGTGTTGTAACTGCAATATGTAATAAATAGGATTAGGTTTAGATAATTATTTATGGCCTATGACAGACATAATTATTTACTTTAATGTATCATGATGGGTACAGACATTGTTAGTTACTATTTTTAGGGCCTGTCCCAACAAATTGTAAAATCTGATGGAAATATCGGATTTTCTTTTTATCTGAGCCTCTATCAGCCAGTTGTGGGACAGGCCCTTAATGTTTTTACCTTTTTTTACAGAAATAGTCCCTGACTGATTTAAAACACATTTTTATTCTAACATTACGTTTTAAAATTCATGTATTTATATTTATATATCTAATATTACCAGCTATCCCTTTTTATACCTGGGACCAATGTCATTGTAATAAAAACAATTAAAGCTACCCAAATTAAAGTCTAAAACACTGACTCACTTAAACTTAACTTGACTCACTTAAATACGTGAAAATTTTGTAACTTAACCGTGAATATAAAAAACTTGGCTTAAGGACGCTGGAATCGATTTCTTTTTTACATCACTTATTTAAAAATGAGTACCACATTTTATCGTAATGGCGAGGATTTTTATATTGTTAATCGATTAATCTTGTTTTGATTCAAAATGACTTACGAATTTGTTAAAGAGTAAAAAACCCATATTTGGTATTTCTATACTAAAATATAACTTGCAGTGTCTGTTCCTATTATATTATACCTTAGTTTCCACTTAATCCATTTTTAAATGATTTTGTATGTTTTGATGGTTTTTATGTCGCCCATTTGTCGAATGAAAAACAATTGTTTGATAATATTTTTAAATCGTTTTGTTTTTTCGTTTAAGGAATTCTCAAATAAATTTAATCAGAGAAACAAGTAATACATTACAATATAAACACTTTAATACATAAAAAACGAAATTATAATAACTAAAATAATAACCTCTTACCTTGATAATTCTAACGTTAAAAATAACTGTATATTGACATTCAAAGTTTATGGCACAAGAAGCTGTAAAAAATAAAAGGGTCCTTACTAAAAAATGTTGAAGCAGTTTATATGTGCTCCAGGAAATTAAAAAGTACGCACCTCCGAGCAGACATAAACTTTGACTCTTAGTATACCAGGTGCCTTTAAGCCATGTAATGTTTGTTTCTTTGGTTATTGTTAGTATTAAAATCTATCACTGTCTTCATCTTTTTAATACAGCTAGAGTCTTTTCAATATTTCCTCGTAGGTAAGTAGGTATAAATGTCGTAAGAGTTAAAAATCGATTTTAACGAGACATCGATCATCGGTATAATATTCCATGGTATTTACCACAAATTGTTTCTTGTCTATCCAATTGTTCGATTTATATTTTTGTAAGCGCTTTTATTTCATAAATATAGTAACTTAGGTAACTTGTACTAAGTAAGTAATATTGTAAAAGTATGTTAAGTTTTTACAGTTGTTGTAAAATTTCGTATTAGATATTATCTAGGTTTAAACTAGTCACAAAATAAAGTCAATTTGTGCTGAAAACTTCATATGTACAATCGAGGAAACTGGCGGTGTTACAATTCAAAATCTAAAATCGTTTGAACATTACGAAATGAGAGAACAAAAATCAATGCAACATTTACTACAACATTTTTACTTACAACAGTTTTTTTTAGCATTAGGTGGTGTTTGTCTTGAAGCAATAAGCCATGCATTTTTTTCTGAATTGGAACACCGCGGTATTCCAAAACTGTACTTTGTATAATTGTATTCCAACGACTTGGAGGTTCGGTATAACGACCTTGAGCTACCAAAACTATTGAAATGGTCAATACCGTATAAAACATGTGTATGTAAGTTTTGTGACAAGTTTAATGCAATTATAGGTACTTAATAGTTATTTAGAAGTAATTTGCTATTTCTCTTATAAATTAATATTTAATGATTATTTTTGATATTAAGCTTTGTGCTACAATGTTGATAATTTTAAATATATTGCGAATTTAGTAAGGGTAAATATGAAGCATCTATACGCTGTTATGTTTCGAACCGGTTTCCACTTGTAACACTTGTATAACAACAATATTTGTCTCTCACTCAGTTTAAAGCAGAAATAATAGTTTTGTAAACGTTAAATACGTTTAGTTCATACTGAACACTTAGACTGTTCAGTTGAAATTCCAAATTATTTCATATTGATCAACTGAAATATAATGTTTATTTATTTATTTATTTACAATAGGAAGCCAATGTTACCTACATAAGTACAGTTTTAACTGAACAGTTTGATTGTTCAGTTAAAACTGAACGTATGTGAGCTTTACACAATTGTTATGATAATTCTAGCTTATAAAAATGCATTTAGCTTCCCTCGTATTCTGAGATATTCTGTAGGTAGACAAAAAAATTATGAGAAACGTCCAACAAGATATCTAGTTTTTTCTGTTGCTACGTGTAGTTATATTTTTGATATGTACTTAAAACATGCGGTCAATTTAAAATAACGTAAAGATAACAATTACCCTCTCAGAGTCGTTAAATGATCACTAAATAAACCTTAAACGTAGTTTTAGGACACTAAGAGATTTCTCTGGTAATCACTAAATGACTGTAAGCGGAGGCCCAACTTTAGTCCGTTTTCCTTCCCACCCTTTTTCTCATAAGAATAAGATGGAAAGGGAAAGTGGATTTGACGCTGGAGGAGATGCATAGGAAGAGAAAATATCCTCTTTATGTGCATCTCCTCCGTCGATTAAGGGTAGGCAACGCATCAGCTATTTCGGATGTCTATGGGCAGCGGTCACTTCACCATTTTGGGGGATTCAGGTGCCCACTTGTTCGTTTGCCACCTTATTGTATAAAAAAAAAGCGGCAGTAAATTTATTTTTAATTTTCTAAATCCAATTTTTCCACGAGTATATGCGACAAATTAATTTTTCTAGGTATTACATTATCTGCAACACAGCCAGTTATCTATAGTTGAGTCAATTTTTAATCTTAATTATTTTAAGCTTGGTATAGATAATGAACTACGTTGTTTTTATCAAAGAATAAGGATGCGTTTTCACTGACATGAAATACAGAAAATGGCTACGAATGACGTTTTCAACTAACATTAAATTCTCTATTTCTACGTATATGTAAAACTCTATACTTTTAGTAATAGCTTTAATACCACTCAAATGTTAATTTAAGTTTTATGTTATAAATGGTATGTGTCAATGTAAACGCACCTTAATTCATTACGTTTCAAAATGCCTCTTTCGTAGATGTATTTAATGGTTACATGTGCTTCGCTTTGCGGAATAGTGTTAAACAATCGAGCAATATATGTTGTTACATATTTATTTTTTATACGGAATATTAATAAATGTTGCATTTTTATCGTAGAATTAAAGAAATTAAGTTTGCAATAATATACTGAATGTCTTATTCTCAAACTTCATTTCCAAAATCTCCTATCCCTACACTTTATTACCTTTTCTCTTGAGATTATCTGAACCAAAAGTCAAACGTGCCTTTTAATAACTAGCTGTTGCTCGCGACTTTGCCCGCGTGAAGTTAAAAAATATAACCAATGTTACTCACTGATAAATTAGCTTTTCAAAATGTGAATCAAATACATACAAAAACCCAAGAATTTCTCCCTCTTTCCAGAAAGAACCATTCCTCTTTATAATATTAGTATACAGATAGTCTGTTGCTCGCGACTTCGCCTACGTGAAATGGCGCAATTTTTTCGTGGCGCCATTGCATTGTTTTATGTGTGATAAGTTAGCTTTATAATGGTTAAAGAATTTTTGAAATAGGTCCAGTAGTTTGAGTTCTTTCAATACAAACAAAAATGCAAATCTTTCTTCTTTTATTAGTATAGAAAAAGATGTCAATTTTAGATTAAAGGTACTAACCTTTAGAATAAAAGAATAATAATTTCATTACTAACTTAAATCGTCAGTTGGTGACAACCTTTAACGCTATTGCTATCTCTGTTCTTTTCAACGAGAATAAGAAGGACATAAAGGTTACTTTAATTAAATAAAAGACCATATGGTAGATCACCTTTATTAGCTAAACACCGATTACATGGAATATGTTAGAATAAATAACTATAAAAGTATAAAATAATAAAATAACATATAAATTAGGAAATTATCTTAATATAAAAATTTAAACAATAACAATGCTTATTTAAATGTTTAAGAAAATTTGTAACAAATTAAACAGTAAATGCTATGCACTAAAAACCCCCTTGTCTTTTATAAAAAAAAGAAACAAAAGACAGGGTATCTTTCAAAGATTTCCCCATCGATACAAAAAAAAAAACAAAAAAAGGTAGTGTAATATTACTGGCACATCAAGAATACTTATATCTAATTACAATTAGAGGATAAAAAACTTAATGAGAATAATAAAAAACATTATTTTAATACAAAAATGGTAATATAAAAAAATATGTCTCGATTTGTTCAAATCAGGTACAGCAATTAAAGTACGAAGGTAAAATTCATATAGCTTTGTGATAAATCATTAGTCGTTAAGGTTAACTGTGACGAAGTATCGAGGCAAAAAGCCTTGTAAAAAACCTCAAATCAACAAAAGTGAAACAGAAGTTAGTCTTACTCTACCTGTTGTATATCCTCTAAATAAGCTGATATATGAAAGACTAGACATGAAGATTAAAACTTTTTTTTTATTCTTATAAGCGATTTTTTTTTATTTTTTATATCTTTTGATGGATTTTCGTATTCCCAAGCTACAATTCTACTGCTATGTTAATTGTTTTTATAAGAAAATGACTAGGTTTTACTGATCACTACATTTTAACTACATTCGATTATGGACTAACATTATGTTAAAGATAGTTAGAAGAGACATAGACGGACATTTAAGGAAAGAAATCTACGTACATTTAGAGATACTTGGTAAATCCACGCACATTTAGATATTGTTTTTGAAACATTTACATACATTTAAAGCTAACTTAGGAAATGACAAAATACTCGTTAGATAAGCAAATACACATAAAGCGAATTGTAAGAAACGGAATGCAGGTTTTAAATTTAGGCCAAAAGTCTTTAAGTCTAGACATATCTCCTCCTCTTGAAGTCCCCGTTGATATATTTCTGCAGCATAAAACATAGTATTTCCGGCTTATCCATTTCTTTGATCTTCTCCAAGGTGTCCACGAATGTATCATAGTCAGCAGGTTCATGGTTTGTAGGAAGCAACATCAGTGCCATGAGATATATTTCTAGAAACTTGAAGCGCGTCAATCGGTTACATACAGCAATGATAATCAGTTCCAAGTCTTCGTTTGTAGCACGTGCGAGTAGTTTCATCTGAATTATTACCCTTTCGTTTATCTGAATCTGGAAACTTCTATGGTACTGGCCTTTGTTAATTAAATCCACAGCAAGGTTTCCGATCTCATCGGCGAATTCTTCGCACAATTTGCCGTATTCAATTTTGGTCGATTCATTCTTGAAGTATCCAGGATTGGAACAGAGCTTTGTAGTAATTATCACCAATCGGAGTTCCCATATTGTCAGATACATCTCCTCTAATGGCAACACTTCTTCAACTGTCTGTAGTAGTTTTTCGAATATAGTATGAATGTATTTTAAATTGTCAATTTTGATGATCATTTGCATATTGGATATAAAGTTCGCAAAGAACAGTCGAATCGAGTACGTATTGTCGTGACCCATTGCCCACATCTCACCACATGACTTTATAATAGATGTTAATAAGGCAATGCTATCGTTTGCTTCTTCCTCGTTTTGCACAGCGATAATGTATTTCGAAATCAATGACCACTTAGTTTTAACTCTGGTGCTTATCTCACGACTCTTGTAGGATGGTTGAATTTTCTTCTCAGTTAACATTTCATTCACATGTGGTGTAATAATGTATTCTAATACGAATTTTCGTTTCATAAAAAATATATTTGATTTTATGCCTTGCAGAACTTGAGTTTGGCTATCTATGTTGCCACCCTTTTCTTTAAATTGACTCACAGACATCCAAGCAGTCTCGAGTAGATCCCCGATGAAGCGTTTTGGTAATTTGGGAGAAACTAGCAGACCGTAGATTGCTTTATCATCATCTTCGTGTACTTGTGATGTGAATATTTTTAATGCGTCGTACAACTCGTTCTGTGAACCTTCATCTTCGATCAAAATTTTCTCAAACAGATTTTTGTAAAGTAACAGCCTCAAGGAGATATTCTTTGTCTTGTGCCAAACCGTTAGGATGACCGCTTTTAGGTCCTCAGCGATGTAAGATTTAAAAGCGAGGCGCAATCCGTGCTTTTGAATAGACAAGGGAGCGTTCAACGTCACCTCTATGAATCTATTTGCAAGCGGTTTAGGTAAATTGACGAAATAGTAATTGAACATTGGTACACTGTAGTGAATGTAGTCCCCAATCAAGTACATCAGGACGTTGGACAATGGCAAAGGCGGTCGCGAGTAACACGCGTAGCGACAGATTGCCCTCTGTATATCAAGTAATTTAGGGCTAATTTTTTCGTGATCAATTTTCGGTTCATTAGGTTTGTATTTAAACATGAAATCTACTTTGGATTCCTCGTCGGCTAATTGTAGAACTCCGTAAACCGCAGTAGATATAAACACGTAGTTACTTTTAGAATCCGATAATATGTCATGGAAGAACTTGAGATATTCCTTGGCGACATCTTTGGCAAAATATATTTTCAATTTTCTCATTAATTGATTTAACCTAAATGAATAAGAATTCTGGATACTTTTCGTTAGAATTGGAAACTTGTCCATTAGTTGTGTTGCGTCTTTCTTTAACTGACGGATTAAATCATTTTCTTCTATAACTTTGATAACTACCTTCTCTTTCAAAATGTGATGGTTTTTAAAGTTCTCCCAATCCAATTTGATGTATCTCATTATAACATCGGGAAAATCCTCTTTTCCTTTATCAAATATTTCCATAACGCGTAGAACGAACGAGATGTACCGTCGAATAGTAGTTTTCACTTCACCTTCATAACTCTTTCCCTCAAACTCGCTTATTTTCATCGTGTACAAATTGATTACGTACTCGTACAATATGACGCGTTTCTCCGTTGATAGTTTATCTATATAAAGATAATTGAACTCCGAGTTAAAAACTTCTCTGAATTGCTCGGGTATTTCTTTGCCATGGACTATGTTGTAAATGACCACAATTAATCTGAAGTCCGTCATAAAGAAGAAACCAGAGTTACTGTATATATGCATACTGTAGAGAATTTTATTGAATCCATTCCAACATTCGTCATCGAATTCGAAAACATTGTGGTTGATGATTACTGTTTTCATAAAATGTTCTTTATTGGATGAACTTTCATTCACATGCCTCTCATAATAATATTTGAATAACTTCTCTAAGTCTTTCTGATTTTTAGCAGATTCCACCAAGATGTTTATCATTTCACCTCGTTTCTCTTTATCAATAGTTATCATTATGTATTTCTTGATACCCTCCAATGCACAATCAAAACTGACAAACTGGTACCATTTAAAATCTTTACCATGTCCCAATACTTCTTGTTGACTTTCAATTTGGCTTAAAGCCCATTTTTCTTTCTCTTCATTAGTAAACATATCATAGAAACGATAATTATAGAAATGCATGGATGTCTCAAAATCCTCACCAGGATAAGCATCAGTAAATAATTTTTTCATGAAAGGAAATATCTCTTGCTTTGGAATTACATCTAGGATATATTTATTTGTTCTTCTGTAGTTGTCCAACCAGAAGTTAGAAGCGGACGATGGCATCAAGGCAACAGCAAATGTTTTCGCATCTTCAATCAGACTATGTTTCACAACTTGCAATTTATTCAAAATCGATAAATACAATTTTGGCTTCTTCAATACTCTATCTTTGTGTTTCTTCATAATATGTTTGGATATCCTCAATCCTAATTCATCAGACTTCATTCTGAATTCAATGCGGACATACTTTTCAACCAGATCTAAGTATTTGGTATCTGATACAGAGTAAAAGTGGCGAAGATCAAGCAAGTATCTTGACATTTTCCTTTCACCAATATCAGTTTTTGAATAAGCTTCCAGTAGAGTGAAAGAATCACCAAGGAAATTCTTTAAGAACACTATTTCATCATTAACATTCTTTGAATCTAAGCCTTTGTTGATAATCTCCACTTTAAAAGTTTCGGGAGCAATAAGTAGATATTTATAAGCAATGTTAGTCAATTTCTTTTCAATGCAGTAGTTGTAAAAATCGATAATTCTCTGTTCTGTTTTAAGATGAGTATATATTGTTATGAGCAGTTTCCTCTTCATCTTAATAGACATGAATGGAAAAATTTCTTTATGAAGGTACTCCGGGTTGATTACATTTGAATATTCATCTTCAAATATCCAAGAACATTTTAAAGCTCTTGAAATATACAGTGGATCACCACATTTGAAGGTATCAAGGATGTAATCAATGTTTTTATAGTTTGAAGCCAAATCAATTTTAAACAGTCTGTCAACATCGGTGGATTCATGTGTGCTTTGAACACTTTGAAAGGATATTTTCTTTTTAGTGGCATCTCTCACCTTTTTGTTCAATTCTTTTTGCCTTTCAGGCAGACTATTGCCTTTTAAGTCAATCATCTTTTACTGCTCCTAAAAGTACACAATAAGAAACATTAATTAAATAGTTTAAACTATCATATTAAATTACTTTAAGCGAAAAGTAAAAACGGCTTAACTGAGGCGCACTTAGGTGCGACGTGACCGCGAACAAAAGCTAACCAATACTCGCCCTGAAGGGTCTGAAACTAATTGGTGCTGTCACCGGAGGATAACAACGTGAGTTGAGCTGTTTTAAATTTTCGCTTTAAGAATTATTAAATTTGAATATTTGTATGAATAAAAGGTCAAAAAGTTTAAACATACTTTGAATAAGATAATATTAATTGTACCTGCCCACGCCCCCTAGATCACTGGCAGCCGACACCTATGTATGTACATCTCTGTTTTGGGTGTGGCATGTTTTTATAACTTCAATATTTATGAATTTATTTATTTGATACATAGAAATAATGCAATTTCAAACATTTAATCAAACAATAGAGTAATATAAAATATCATTTATTTATTAAAAAAAAATCTTATTCTTGAATTAATTCCTATTTTAACATTAGCAAGCAACAGCAATAACAAGCATAACATTTTCAATTACTTGTTTTATAATAAGAGCACATTTTACATGTTTCTTATAACTTCGCTATTTTAGGTATATTCGCAATATTAGACATTTAAAGTTAACAAAAACTCTTATCAACAGCATCGCATCTCACCTGTGATCAGTACTGAGCTTTTATTTCATCGTCTGATGGCCGAGCAGCTTTGATTTCCGAAGATATTGCGATGTACCAAGAGCCTTGAATCCCAGACGCCCAGTCCCCGGCACTATGAAAAATCGATTGAGCTTCGATTAAGCTTTATTGAACGCTTTACTATCTTTTTAAAATTGATGGCCTAGTAACGAGACCTTTAAGCCACCTTTACTACCTTTCTTAAATCAACAACTATAAATCCTTAAACTGCCATAAACCTTGATTCCTTTACAAAATGAAAACAAATCCGTCAAACACCCTTACAACTATCAATAAGATTCAACAAGTTTGTAGAAGGAAAAATTAGCATACGGAGGGGTGGATCCCGAATAGAGATTTCAATTTACTGATAAGAACTGATCTATATGAATGGATAGGCGATTGCTTGAAATGATAATTTCTGTTTTGATCCGATTTAAACGTCCTTGTTGATGTTGCTCACAGTTAAGTCTATATCTATAATTAGTTGAAAATCTCACAATCGTCTAAAACTGCAACCGACAGCGCCCAGCAAAAAATTGTATAGGTACAATGTTTCACATTTAAAGCCTTTCCTTTTATACAGGTCAGTGATGATAAGACAATGACGTAACGATAAACAATGTTTGACAGATGTGAATGGAGTCATCTTTACGAACGTTATGATACTTTGAATGTTTTATGTTTTGAAAATTCTTAATGAACATTTTTAATCGATATAACAACAAAAACTTTAAAATTGATTACATATAGCTTCAAATATTAATTAAAGGATTTACCTAATAAAGTTTACGTAATATTTCCAATTTTTGGAAGTTTGAAGATTCGAGTTTTTGTGCTGACAACAATCATGAAGCTGCTCTTTGACAGCACATCATTCATAAAAGAGAAAATGGCGGTTGTTATATTAGGAAATATAGGAATCTTTCCAACAAGTTAAAATTTTTGTGAGTTTAAAATAGAGCTTTGAAACTTAGTAGTTCTAATTGTTTGTGTTTAGTATTATACATCCGTTGTATTATGGACAGTTAGCAAGATCTATTTTTTTCAACAAAAATAGTACTTTATCTCATAACAATAAAGCGGTAGGAGACCGCATTTATTTACGAAATAGTTTTTCAATAATAAGTGCTGTATTATTTTATCGGTTTGATTGTTTATTTAAATTACGATGTTTCTAATGTGTTAGAGTTATTTACACAACAAGGTTACTTCGTGATGTGTTTGTGAGCGTTTTCCCTCTAAAATGGATGAATCTGAGGAATTCAACACACTAGCCTTCGAAAAGAAGCTTTCTCAGTTAAAAGATACTCAGGAGAGTATACAGTCGTTATCTTCTTGGTGTTTGAAACAACGTGATCATCACAAAAAGATTGTATCGAGCTGGTTGAATGTTTTGAAAAGAGTTAAAGTGGAGCAAAGATTGGTGCTGTTTTATCTAGCAAATGATGTGATCCAATATAGTAAAAGAAAGAATTATAAATTCGTTGAGAGTTGGGGATTAAATTTACAGAAAGCAACACCTCTGGTCAGGTAGGTTTTGTTTGACTGGATATCCTAAATTGTCTCATTTGGTTTTGTAACTGACATGGGTAATGTCACAAAAATCTAACAATTAATGTGTTTATCTAGAATTTCATTCAAAAGTGGTAGTTCATGTGATTAGACCTAATAACTACAAAATAATTAGTTTACTCATGGATTCTAGTTTTGTTTCTTTTTAAAGTGGATTTGACTTGAATTTATACTTATTAAATCTTTTTGACTCAATTCAACTATTCATAAATAATTTCTGTTTCAGGGATGACAAGGTTCGGCCAAAAATATTAAGAATATTTAAAATTTGGGAGCAAAGATCGGTTTATGATGATGAATTCCTATCAGATCTGACCGGGCTGCTTAGTGCAGGACCTGGTAAGAAGGCTGATGATGATCCATTGGATTTTCAAGTAAGATTTTTTTTAAATTGATTCTATGATCTCTATGTTTTTTTTCTTATGAAAATTAATTGGCTAAATGAATTGGTGGCATTGAATGGATAACCAAGAATATAGAAATCCAGGGTAGTTATTGTTTTAATTACCTTATTTATAACACTTCAGTACATAAAGAAATTAGTTTTATGTTTTTTAGCAATATGTTAAAGGTTTTTTTGTTCATGGTAAGGTAAAAATCTCCTGTGCTCAATTTTTACGTTTATTTACTTGTACTTTAAATAAGAAATAAGTAACACCTGATGTTTAGAAAATGTAACTAAATATTACCCCTTTTACAAGTCATAGTTATATGTATTGATTAAATATTCAATAACATAATGACTAAGTATTGATTTCCGAATGTGTGGTTGAGGGTTTGAATCCTGCCATTCGACTATCATAAACCATTCCTAACAGATCTAGAGACTAGGCGTGGTACAAGAAATATTAATAAAATAACAACAATCTTATAATATTTTTTATTAAATGCACAGGGGAAGTATAGATAAAAGTAGACATTAAAAAAGTCACCTCCTTTTTTCTACTCTCCTGCCTATCTTACCTTATTGAGTTGAATCTTTATGGATTTAGTAAATATGCTTTTTATTTTATTTTTGAATATGTATTTAATTTATGACAGCATTTTTATTTTATTTTTATATCCCATGAAGGGCACAGTATGTAGTCCTCTAAATATAAATTACTAATAGCTATTGTAAATAACTTTTGTGTTATTAGTACAATTGTATATGTTTGTTCTTACAGCCTCAGCAATTAGTGAACAAAATTAAACAATGCACAGTACTAGAGACGGATACAGATTTAAGGTTGAAATATATACATGAGAGTCATTTACAACTCTCAGATTCTGACGCATTACGAGCTAGTCTTAAGGGTGAGTATTAAAATGTTTTATGTTGACCCCATATTGTCTTCATAGGTATAAAATACCATTAAAACCTCTTTCCCGTATTTCTGTTCTTACTGTTTAGTAAATCGAATGTTTTTGGATGTTTTATTTAATATAGGAAGTGAAATTTATATGTTGTAGTTTCGTTCTTTTTGTATCAGTTATACATTTTTTCATTCTACTGTGTTTAGTTGTAATATATTAACATAAACTGTATTTGGTTAAAATGGCAGTTTAGTTTACCTATGGGGACAATATTATGTTTAAATGCTGATTGATAGATTATATAATAAAATTAATCTGACATGTAAGTCTAGACTGTTTCTTTACAGATAGGAGTAATAAAGATGACGTAGAGAAGGAACTTAACGAAGGTATAGCGTGTGTGGAGAGGTACACGCAAGCTTTGCAACGGGAGATAGTAGCTAGAGAGGCATTACTAGCACTTCTGACTTCAGCGGAACACTACTACTCTACACAGCGAGGGGAAGTCAAAGTAGTTGCTTATGTGAGTTTCCTTTAAATTATTATTATAAAGAGGAAAAATTTGTATTTTTGTATGTTTAATAACACAAAAACAAAAAAAAACCTTACATCATTGTAAAGCTGTTATCAGTGAATAACATAGGCTACATTGTTTTTTTAATATCACACGGACAAAGTCGCGAGCAACAGCTATTACGTATTATAATGAACTCAGATAATTTAATAAAGAATGGATGGATGTTTATTTACTATGTATCAAAAAATAAAAAAACACCATGAATGTCACTGAGATTTCGCAAAGATGTAAATTATATTGTGGAAGGAGACAGGCTATTAAAAGTTTTGTTACCCGCGCGGACATTCTCGCCAGTAACAGCTAGTCTTACTAGTATTATATATGGGAATGTTTAGATAGCTGTTAGAGTTAACTATCCACAGTACCATGTACAGATCTCAATAAAATTTGTCATGTGTATGGAGCAAAGTCGGAAAGAACACAGGCTTCCATTTTGTTTACTTGACTGATTGAGAGTGATATCTACTTATTATGTTCTAAGATGTACATGTTTTTAATTTTCCAGGCGTATAAAACATTTGGTGCGCGAGTTCGTGCATTGAAACGCAAGTTGGACGAGCTGACAACGACATTGCCCAGTGCAGTG